ATTAAAAACACTCGAGAAAAATTTAAGCCTTATTTTTAAATAATTTAGCTTCATCATATTATCGCAACTGGTACGTAACGACCCGGCGATATGCCCATAAAGCGATTCATCTTTTTGTTGTATTAATTTCTTGAGCATATCAAATATTATCTAACACATGTCAACTATAATTAAATTATTTTCTTCTTATTTTTTACAGTACAGTTTAAGGAAGTTCCAACGTTTTTTTTTTTTTCTTTCTATGTATTTCAGTCATGAAGTACAGTTTTTCCTCCATTCAATGGGCTTCATAGGCTATTTCCTTCCTTTCCTTTTTTCGTTTTCACGACCCATATACCTCTCCAGAATTACTGGAGAGCGTCATTGGTTTCCTGCAGCGGACCTCCAGTTTCATTCCTTTCTCAGTATGAAATATGTTTCAAGATGTCCCCTGCAGGGCCTTCAATTGCTGTTGCCGCATTTTTAAACTTGATCATAAAGACGCAGCAATTTATCGAGCCGTGAAATAATGCGGCATTTACCCAGGTAGGGATAGGAGTGGGTTATAGTAGGCGAGTGAAAAGGTGTTTGGTGCCGTGGGGAGCCTTCACAACCCGGACATGTTTTTGATATGTCGCGGTGTGTCGTCGGGTCCTGTAGGTGTGTATGAATCGCGTTCTATGGGAGAGTATATGTCGCAAGGAATAATCTGTTTGGATGCTCATTACATAAGGTCGTGCTCCCTAACTCGGAAATGCCTAACTGTGTAGATGATGTGCAGGCGACATCAGAAGGCATCCAATCGGAATGCTATATTGCGGAATTGAAGCTTGACTAATGTACGTTTGTGGGTGTAGAAAGGGCGCTGGAGGTGCTCTCGTTCACTTCTACGAAGCCATCCCAGTCAGCTTTGTTAAAGTTGATATATGCGCGGTCCACGGGAGCAAAGTCGGTGCGTATATCGTTCGAGATGATTATGGGTAGCATGGGATGCTACGTTAAACTATTTATCAGATCAGCACTAGGTATTGTTAGATCAAGCAAAGTACTGCAGCTCCCCATAATCTTAGTGTTGGGTTGATGCTCAAAAGCAACCGGGGGTCACGCGAGTTAAAGGTCATGAAGTACATTCCGGATGGAGCCGTCTCCAGCTTACGCAGAGTAAGTATTTTTTTGGTCCAGAGTTGGACTCAGTACCAGCCCGGGGAAGAAAGGTGTGGAGACTTTTAATATAATCCTTCTTGAAGGAAAAGAAAATTATGGTCTTTAAATTTGAACTTTTTATTTGAATTTTACAACGAAAAAATCTACATTTTTCAAATTACTCCGATATTTATACAAAAGTTAACTCTTCCAAAAATTATATACATTATGCGTAACCGAGTTATAAATAGTTGCGCTCCCTAACTCGCAAGAAGTTGCAAGAATTTACAGGAATTTACCAGAAAGCGTTCCCGTACTCGGTTCTCTGGCTTATTTTGCCTTTTGACAGTTTTACGGGTTTTAACCTAGAAAAGTTGGGGAACGCAACTATATTAGGTCCATTCCTTATCTTTTTTGACTAAAATCTGAAAAGTGTCAAAATTCAAGAGCGTAAGCCAAATGCGCTCACTAAAAAAGAATAACAGGAAAAAGTAAAGGAACGCATAAAACCAAATTTTTAGTCCAAAGAATGGCAACAGCAAAACTAACGTCAAATAAGAACAGAAATGTATGTTCAAAACACATTCACACAAGCAGAAGCACAATAAACACTTACTATGTAAATTATTTTTTGCGGCCTTCCATTTTCAACACACTTTTTTTAGTTTTTAGATTATTCTCACTTTTCGTGTATTCTTTAATTTCCGTTAATTTAGATTCAGTTGAGTGTGACACTTTTCAAGATTTTGCCAGCAAAAATTCTTCTGACTAAATCTGACTACTTCGGACTGAAGAGAGTTACTCTCACTGAGTGTTGCTCTCTCATTTCTGCTGTTATTTTTGAGTTAAGAAACGCTTTTGGACTAAATCTGACTACTTCGGACTATTTCTACGAGAAAAGGAACGCAACTATTGGTAGTAAAAGCGCAGTTACCCACGGACGTAAAAACGGAGAACGTGTCAGCTGACACGGGCTTTGTTTATTTTCTTTTTAGATAATTATCAGGAAAATGAAGAATGAGAAAATTGAAAGAATTACGCTCACAGAGAGCGAAATAACGAAAAGGTAAAGAAACACAAAACTTGCAGAAACTAGCAAGTAATTAGCTGATCGGTATATTTGACTATTGAAAATATTTCGCGCGAAATTTTCTTTATCCATTTTGACAGCTGCTAGTTTCTGCTAGTAAAAATTTTACTTTTAGTTTTATCTCCGTGATGTTCGGTTAACGTCGTAACTGCTCCAGTAACTGCTTCTAGTAAGGCTTGCTGAGTCTTTAGTTCAGCTTCCAGAAGGTCGGAGGATGCTTTCGGCTTCTTTACAGTAGGTCTCCTTTCTGAAACTACATTTACTGGTGGTGGTGGAAGCGATGGCTCACCGACCGTGACAAGTGGACTTATTTGAGATTCATGTATCTCTATTTCCAAAAGTAGACGCCTAGTATGCCTTCAACACTTTCCTTCATCCCAATCAGTTTATATATAGTTTCCTCATTGGAAGAAAGTTTCTGTTGGGTGTTTGGGCCACCACCCGTGCCTTTGCTGCTTGAAATTTTGCGCCGCCTTTTGAGGCACATATTTTTTTTGTCGGTCCACACCTATAAAAAGTTAAGGAAACGATAATTTAAAGCGAAAACTACACATTTAATCACTTTTACAAACCTTTTTCCACTCAGTCGTATTTTTTTTTTTTTTGGGTGGGTCTGCGGAGTTTGGTCCACCTCAGGGTTCCGCCAAAACCGGGAAACTTCCTTTATGTTGCCCTTGTGGAAGCCGCGAGCAATGTCCGGCTTAGCTTCCATTAGGCTTATTAAGATCTCTACCTGTTTTCTATTTGTTGTTTTGGACCTTGAATGAAAGGATTACACCAAATTTTCTTTAAATTGTAATTAACTTACATTTTTGTAGCAGTCTCCTTTTATAATACTGGTGAAAATTCTCCCAGAATAACGAACAGTGATCGGACTTACAAAAAAAAAAAATGTGTGTGGTAGAATCTGGAAAAAATGTGGTAGATTTCAAAAAAATGTGGTAGATCTCAGGTTTTGGATCAAACTATGTACTGTAAGCATAAGCATGTATGCATATTGACTAACAAGTACGATGT